CAGTCCTAACCACGTCATATTTTTAGATTCAAGTCGGTACTTCTTGAATGCCTTTGATATAATTTCTTATATTAGTTCCCATCTCGTCTTTGTATTTCCGATTTTAACAACGTTTATTATCTCCTTACTTACTTCTTTAGAACTTACAATTTCTGAAATCTAACTTTCCAATTCTTTGTTATATGAATTCATGGCATTTCTACTAACCATCATTAAACTGGTTGAGTACCCTTCGCTCATCTAGGCAAAATTTTAGATAATTTCATTCAAAGTGCCAGTTTCATTATCTAGCTACTGTACATTTTATAAAACTCAAATTACATCTACGATCTAATACTCCTACATCTGGGTTTTATATGAACGTTGCGTTATTTTGACTGAGAGTATTTCCTTGCATTTTGAAACCAATAAATAATTATTAGTATCACACTCAGCCTCTCTGCAAGACTCTATATCAATTACACTTCACAACCGCAATTAAAATGTTATCAGTCGGTATACATTATGTTTTGTATGTTTTAAAACACGCTCTTGACAAAACACAACAAAGATCATTAATGTCCTCACTCTATAAATAACAATTTAATGAAAATTTTATTCTTGTTAATCTCCCTTTCCTTCAGACCTAACCTAACCTAACGTTTCATGCAGTATATATTGACAGACACGTCCTGAAACACATCACGGCTACCTTCCATTTGCGCATGAACTGCAGCAAACAGCTTAAAAGAGTTGAAGCTCCACAAATCTTCTTGGAATTCAGTCATCGCAATTCGTAAGGCTTTTGTCCGCTTGATGCCCGGCGCTGTTCTGTGCAACAACTTCGCCCTAAGTAGACGGCAGGAATACGCAAGGAGCCTGCAGCAGCTGTAAGAAAAATCCACAAAGCGAGCTTGCAGTAGTAGTTTGCAAGTGCGGTTTTCCACTCCAGCGTAATCCCGCAATGAGTTTCTCATCCTAGCGTTTCTCTTTGGGTCAGCTATTCCCTGAATACGCAGAATGTTCTGACAGAACAAGAGGCTTGCCCGTTCATTTGCAGCCTGCGTCAAGCAGAGGCACGGCATATGAGGGGTTTGTTCTTATTTACCGAGGTTATATCGATTACTGACAAAATTTAACACTTCAAAAGCACAGTCGTAACTACGTACCACCTACTTCAACAGTCACCCTATTTGCATTTTAACATATCGTATGATATCTCAAGATACACAGTTACTGTTTCCTTAAACAGAATTAACCGATTGATCTTTGTAATGGAGACGCTATTTTATAAACTACAGAGGTCATATAGCGTAGGGAAAAATACCACGCAGATCGAAACAGCTACTAGACACACCGATATAGTAAAGAGATTCACTCTTAATGGATGTAGGACCATCCCAAGACAGATTTAGCAAACTTTTCTAGATATCAGACTGAATTTAAAACGTCCCTACGTATACGGACAGGCAATATTATTTCAGGACTATGTATTATATTTTATTTGTTATTGTTTGTAACATAATAAATAAACAACTCAAAATAATGACACAAAACCATAAAAATGTTAATAAAAATCCAGGGGTATTATAAAATTTGTTAAATGTAATAACCGAATATTTAACGAGAAACACTGTATTTCATTAGCCAAAATAACGACCATGGCTACAGACACCAACAGTAATTTAATTTCATGGTGAACTTTATCGTGATGTTAATATTTTCATACACCAACGGTGCTAACAAATGAATCTGTGCATCTCATTTGACTTCCAGTTGTGCTGAATATCTTTTACAACTAAAGTAACAATTTCTGTATGAAATCCAACACGGCCAACACGAACTGCACGTTGAATGAGTCTGTCTCTATACAAGTGAATTCAAAAGTTACGTACAAGAACGCTTAAAGACTGACACGGAGTCGGGGCATTAATAAAACACGTTAAGACATTCAGCGCTAGAGTAAAATGTAAACATATTAGCATATAAAAGCACGAAAAATAAGACCAGCCACTGCGATAAGCCTAAATCAGCCATAAGAAAAGCTGTCAACACAACGCCAAAGAAAATAGTGGACTTTTCTATCGTTGCATTAGGTGAGACTGTCAGCTGAATTAAAGCCGCCAGTCAGCCCCAGAAAATATGAGTGAATATGGAACACTGGCGGAATAATACAGAGAAAAACCGTAAAACGAAGAGAGAAACGTGTTCTTGTGCTACTTTGTACGACACAACGTCACATGAACCGACGTGGAAACGAACCAGGGCCTCCGCCGTGAAAAGCACAGTTTTCACGAGTTGAGTAAACTGATGTACAGCTACAGCTATTACATGCTAATAGAACTGTAATCGGCAAAGGAAAACACAGGAGGCTCTCATTATACGCGGGAGTTTCATTCCTGCAAATCGCAGATCGAAAACAAGTAAAACGGAGAACAATACTAACATGGCTGTCTTGTGCGTTGTAGCGACGCGTAGGCTGTCATCGCCCTGATGGTGGAGACATAAAATATCTTTGAAACGTTTTTAAACCTCTTAACAGACTACACGGCGCTGCAACCCAGAAGACATCCATCTTAACTCGCCGCCTTCAATCAGAACCTCATTTACATGACCGTGTATTTGCTATAGTGCTTCCGGACGTAACAGTGAAGCATTGCGCTTGTGGCCGCAACGTTGTAATATTTGCTAAACGCGCGCGGCATTCGTTTGGCAAAAGCACAAATTATCCATTATGTTGGAAAACACAAATTATACTTCAAGAGATCACCGTTAAAACACCGACACCAGTTATCTTTTCTTTGGATAGGACAGTACTGCGCTCCAAATCACCAAGTGCACAAGCCACGCAACAGCGGTAGATGGCTGTTCCTTCCACCATACACTATCCCGCTAATTATGAATATAAGTACATTATATCAAATCTAAAACTTCTTGACGATGGTGAAGAGTCAATTGAATAAAAATTTTCTTAGATGTTATCCAAAAGTAAAAGTCCCGGAATAAAAAGGCCTTTTTATTCCGGGACTTTCACTTTTTACTTTGTCCGGAGATAGGGATTAGCTCTATCTAGTGGGCCCAACTGTGTAGGAACCTGAAGACGGAGATAGAGTCCCATTTCCGAAACGTCGTTTTTTAAGTTTTATATTTACTAGACGATGGATAATATCCAAGAAAAATTTTATTCAATAAATACATTATATTGGATGAAGTTTAATCATTTAAATAAATTCTTCACGCTAGTAATATACTAAAAATTGCTTAAAGTACATTCTTACAAAACACAATCGTACTGCAACTCTCGTTTTGTAAATGAAAACATATTCATACAGAGTAAAAGAAATGGAAGTAAAATCTCATAAGGATTCGTGCTTCACTCTTACGTATATGTGGATTATTTATAATTGCTACACGTTTGTACCACCCCGAGGCAAAATTGTGGGGCGAGTCAACGAAACTGCGCGCGCAACTCAGTGGCCCTGCACGGCAGTTTCTAACGCGGTCAGATGATATATAGATGCTTATAATCATTTTGAAATAAAACCTCGGATGACGAGAATCACCTGTACACTCCAAAACGTTTTAACCTAAACGTACTAATAGTGGTATTTCCCGCATGCGACATCTACTGGTGATGTCACCATTATTCGGTTTCCATTAGAAAGTCATCTGAAATATGAGGTTATCACAACGGTGGAGATGAGGGCTGTTCGCACGGTCACTATACAGATGATCACAGCCGACATTTAATTTATTCGTTGACCTAACTGGACACTGAGGTATGACCTGGAAAGAAAGAAGCTGTCTGTAAACCAGATGAAAGGGCAAATTCATTAGTGCGTCTACGCTAATGCTGGCAGCAATCAGAATCTCATTAGTACACTGTACTCCCACTACAGTGATATATATCATCATTATGTGGATGTTCCTATGTAATACAGAACCACGCGAATGACTTAAATGGTAACGTGTGTTACTACTTGATAATAATACACTTTATTTAATGTGTGTCTGTTCATAATTTCTGGTAGTTTGCCACATAGCAGAATTCATTAATACAATTGGACTTCTCCTTGTGAACAGACGCACAGTCACAATGATCACTTCTTTATAGAAGACTACAGTCAAGTACACTGATGTTGTAATGGAACTGTAGGAAGCCTCGTAAATCTTCGAATCACTAAGTATATTATTTACTGCTTTCAAAATTTAGGACGAGATTACTGGCAAGGTCTGATATGCTGCTTTTCGATTTAAGATCTCCTGTCTTCCGCGTCTATTTAAAATCCATAGATTAATACACATAAAACTATAATTTTACCTATCGTTTTGCGTGGGCGTAGAATTTGTCCTCGTATTAAGAGATAATATACTGAGTGTTTCAAAACAAGTAGTTGAGAATCCATCACTGAGGAAGTGGCAGGAGGTTGGAAACGAATGAGTACTTCCAATACTGTAATATGTATTCTGCAACTAATATTATGCGGATGATCAAAATAAAGGAGATAAATTGGGCGGGGCACAAAGTACTTATTGAATGATAAGAAATGCATACGAAATGTTGGCCGGAAAACTTGAATGCAAGATATCACCAATCAAATGTCTAAAAAGGAGTCACAACTTCAAGAAGGATTTATAATTTCTGAGGTTAATTCTGAACTGAAATATGTCAGACGGTCGAATGTGTAAAACATGAAACAAAGAGAAGGTCCAGGATTTGCAGCAATTGTCCGTAATTTATTAATGGTCAGTAGAAAGAAATTTACATACACCCACTCACTCACTCTATGGTGCAGGAAATTCTTTGAAAAGTCGATTGTATACTCAATTTATCAAAGTATACCCACATTTCTTACGAAACCCAAAGGTTCGTCACCGTGTTCACAAAAGCCCGCCCCTAAACTCTATCCTGAGCCAGCTGCATCCAGTTAGCTCCATCGATTCCTATCTCCCTAAGGCCCATCTTAACACTGTCCTCCCACCAACGCCCAGGTCTTCCAAGCGGTATCCTCCCTTCAGACCTCCCAAACAATTCCTTGTAAACACCCCTCCCCCATGCGTGCTATGTGTCCTGCCCACCTCATGCTTCTCGATTTAATCACTCTTAACATCAGGTGAGGAGTCCAGGCCGTGAAGCCTATCATTATGTAATTTTCTCCATGATCCATCCTCTTTCCTTTTAAGTCCAAATATCCTCCTCAACACTCTGTTCTCAGAGACCCTCAATCTATGTTCCTGCCTCAAAGTGAGAGACCAAGTTTCGCACCCATACAGCACAACTGGCAAAGTTAGACTTCTGTATATTTTACTCTTTATTTTTTTTTATAAGAGACGTGTGGACAAAAGATTTTGGACTGAATGATAGAAAGTTTTTTTCTGAATTTAATCTGCTTTTCGTTTCGTCATGAATGTCTTTCTCACTTGTCATTGCTGTCCCCAAGTGCTTGAAATTTGTCACATTTTCGAACGATTCATTAGCTATCCTTTCATTCTGGTTCTGTCCAGATTTCTGATGCCGAGACATGATCATATACACCGTCTTTTGTGCGTTTATTTCTAGGCCAACATCACTACCAGCCCTCTAGAGTGTTTCTATGTTCGCTTTTATAGTATTTATATTATCGCCCTACAGATGAATACCATCAGCGGAGACCAAAAGCTGATACGTCCCATTCAATTCCTAACCGCCCTGATTTTATTGAACATTCCTGATGGCATGTTCTAGGGCAAAATTCTAAAGCAGCGTCGATAGACCATCTCCCTGTTTCAGGCCATTCTGAATAAGAAATGTATCGGACAAATGTTTGTCTACTCGAATTTTGCTACAGGTTTCACTTAAACACGTTTTAATTAGCCTGTCTAGCATTTTAGGTGCATCAGATTCAAGTAAAATATTTTAATGAGCTTCTCTGTTGATGGCTGTATTCTGGTACAAGTTTACCGACGTTTCATAGATCCTTCCTGCCTCAAACATCAGGGCGCAACAACCCAGAAGACCGCCACTTTCAGACTCATCGCCGTGAGAACCTCAAATCCTTCACAGCTTCTCTGTTAACGGAGCCATAGGCTTTCTTGAAGTCTGTAAATAGTTATGGGCTGTCCCATTGTACTTTTTCTCTGGTCTCTGGCGAATGTAGAAAATTTGGCCAGTTGTAGATCTATTACGACGGAACCCACATTGAGTATCTCCAATAATTTCATTGGCATACGGAGTCAACCTCGCCAGAAGAATGTTGGATAAAATGAAGGTAGATGATAACAGGGACATTCCTCGATAATTATCAGCGGTTATTAGAAAGAAATTTACATGAATCCATCCGTAATTCACACAATCGTACATACTGGAAACTGTCATTAACCGCAGCGCATTCGCTGACGTACTCAACATCTGCTTCTTCACGTCCTTGCAATTTTCTTGTGATACACTTTCTTGCAGATTCCATAACAAATACTGAAATAGAATCGTGTGTGCACATCCTACTGTCCACAGACTGAGATTTGGCGAGGCAATTGTGGTGATGGAACAGGTGGTCCTCAGTCTCCTACAACGATTTCTACACGGCACCAGCTTTCGCTTGAGGTGAACAACACAAAAGCTCGTTTTGCAGCGCCAGCTTTTCTCGTGGATGTTTTGGAATGTATAGAAGAGGGGGTCGGCTGAGTAAAACAGTTTCTTCCAATTTGTGAACTGTACATGCCTGCTGCTTATCGTAGCAGGTTTTCACACGAGACA